CGCCAGTGTGTCCAACTTCGGTTACGAAGCTCTGACTATGGCAGGCATGTACGAATTTGAGCGGGCCGGCACACGAATGACGAGAAATGGAGCCGGATAGGCAGGAAGAGACACGGGTCACCTTGGGGTGGTTGATGGTGAGTTGGGTGAGGGTCGGGGAAGCAGAACGACGATGAGATCGAGGTGGAGGGGCGGTGGATGGAGCTCGAGATGTAGTAGAGGAAGGCGAGGTAGAGGAGGCAATCTATGTGTTGTTGCCTCCGGGGCGGACGAAGCCAACGTCGACGAAGAACAGGAACATGGCCGCACATCATGGTGTCAACGATGATGCGTCCTCCTCGCCAGTGTTTCTCGTCCCGACATGGTCACCATCGTCGCAGTGGAGACGCATAGCAAGTGTTTGACGGAATGCATGAAGCAAATATGAATTTTAGAAAGTTAAGTTTAGGAGTTCGGCCAAAAACTACACATTTCAAAGAAGAAAATATACACCTCTACAGGATACTCGACGGTTTACTCTTCTAAATTATTAAGAATCGGTTAGAGATGCTCTTAGATCATAGTACTTGAGAAACTAGCTATGTAACGGTGTGGCCAAACCCCGCATATTTTATTGATTGCTCCTTTTTGTGTACGTACGGCCTCTAGGTCCGTCGTATACGCTCATATGCCTAGTAGTTTACCATCAAGCAAGTGAATTAGCAGTAGTTTGTATCGGTCGGCCCAGACCAAGTTGTACAACGGTGTCGACTTCACAGGCGGCCGCATCAGCCGGATCCAGCAGCTCTCCAAGCTCTTCACCCCACGGGCGAACTCGTCGGCGACCCCCGCGAAGCGGCAATTGGGCAGCATCTCGTTGGCGACGCGGTTGATGTTCAGGCACCCCTCGTAGGCGTCCCTCACCAGGCCAGAGAGCGAGGTGTTCTGGCTCAGCTGGTTCCTCGCGGCGAGCCGCGTGGCATCCACGGATTCCACGGCGAACCGCGAGGCGAGGATAACGTATCCGGTGGCGCCCTCCTTGTGCGACCCGGATATTTCGACGAGCAGTGCTACACGGACGATGGCTTTCTGCACGATTTATGCACGATGGACAAAAGCAACCGTTGGATTGTATTGTCTTACAAATCTGCACTGTCCAAGGAATGCATCGTCCAGGAATCGTGCATGCAAAATCGTGTGCAGAGTAGTTTCGTATTTCGACGCCGCCCCAGATCGAAACTGCTCCACGGACGAAAATGCTTGGACGATCTACAGACGACCTTCTTATCCAGCGGTTAATTGCTCGGCTGGGTATGAGATTCACCGGTTGGATTTAAACGTCGTACGCGTATCGTCCAAGATGTGTCGTCCGTATAGCACGGTTCGCCCCAGATCATCACGTCGATGCAAAGATCTGCCAACAGCTACGTGCTGCATGACTCGCGGCAGGCAGAAGACCCATCCAGCGACGGCACGCCACGGAGATGTTTCCGATGCTACAAATAATGCTAATGATATGTGCATATATTATACTCGCACTTCACAAAGAAACATCTCCCCACGAAAAGAGAGACGCGAACACTATATGACTATGGTGAAGATCATTCTCCTCCTCGTTGTCCTTGCGCCCTTTTGCATGGCTGCCACAAAGGGTCTTCTGCCTGCGGCGAGTCCGCCACGTTGGTCAGTCCGCCACGTTGGATGCGGCCTCACCCGGACCACCTTTTCTCTTTATTTATTATTTTCTTTTTCTCTCTTCATCTCCACCAATCACACGCAAGTCACCGAACATATAAGGAAGAAAATGAGATGTGTGGTTGCGCGGACTGACAAATAATGACTCAAAACGGACACATCCAGCTACTGGCCAGGCGCTTCCACGGGCATCTAAGAGGTCAAATTTGTATGGTCCGACTGCAGATGTTCTTAAATCACCAATGGCTCTATCCAGTCAACTCATCACGTCACGCCCTAATTGAAATAGGCAAAAAAAATATTCTACTCTTAATAGGAATTGAACCCATGACCTCTAGTAATTATTCCTAAGGCGAGCACCAGTCGAACTAGCTCCCTTTTTTTATATACAAACA